GATGTTTTGAAGTGTACAGTTCAATCCACGCTAATCAAGCATCCTTTAGGTGGATGGATTTCTAAAAGAATGTCTGATATCTTCGAACTGGACACATACGAAGCAACACCAAAGGCTGATTAACCTTGTTATTGAAAGCCATACTTGCGCAGTTTTCGATGACAATAATCATGCAGAGATGTCATACGAACAGAAGGCACGGACAACGATCACAACAAGGCCGCCGCAATAGTCATGCTCTCATGCGATCAACAGCGGGGAAACGATGAAACCATCACTCGGCCCAGCGAGCTGTAGAGTCAGCTTTGAACTGAGATTTGGCATCTAAAATCTGGCGGTGTTAAGACGGAGGAGGAGAAACGTCCGTGGCGGTAAATATGCGGAGTCAGGATCCTATTCGAGAACGACCCGGCAGAGAGTTCAGGCGATAATATCAAAGATTCGGCTGCCGGATCTCCCTCTTGTTTCTTCTCCATAATCTCCTAGCAATTGGATATTATGCGGAGAAATCCCTGCAGTTTGACTGTCGACCCATAAGACGAAAGACGTTGCCGGCTAAATCACGATTCGTCTCTGGAGCCTATGGTGGGTTTAACGCATACGTGCAGACTGCACATCCTACACCATCAGGAAACGATCTGCAAGGTACACACCTCGTCTTTTAAGTTCTTCGGATAGCAATCCTGGTGATCGGTCTGGTGTTGCATCGCTAGATCTCTGTTAAATGACTACAACAGCATCTGATCAGTGTTCAGTTGGCTGCGTATGGAAAACGCTGACTGCAGGATGTCGATTGAACACTGTAGCGATAAGGGTGGACTCGAACAGACTCTGCGATTGCGCGCTGTACTGGAGAGACACCTTTCGACGCTCTGTCGATTCCGCTCAGTAGCCGCCTTTAGGCTGTGCGAATCTCGCAGTTGTACATAGGACATCCAAGGCAACAACAATCGGCCGTGACTTTTCTTTATCTGGCCGCTGTGATGGCTAAGACTGGAATATTTGACAATTCCACTTGGCAAGTAAATGAACTTTTCTTGGCAGTCGATGCATAATTCTGCCTGAAGATGCCCCGCGCCATCTGGGGCGAATATCCGAGACCGAGTGCGCCGGCACTATCATCAAGGTGGTTTGCTATTGATGGGATTCTATCCCCGCATTCCGGTGATCGACATGGCTTCAGGACCCCCTCGATAATTAATCAATCCTTCATATCAGGTCATCTATGGCTCGAAATGAAGTTGACGCCCAATAACGCCACAGCCTGCCACATCCTGCCACCGCGTCATCTCCCCTAGCGCTTAATTTCGACGTCGCAGCATCTGAATCTTCAAATCAAGTCTCTGAGAGCCGTTTCAGAAACCAGACTACGTGGAGTATGTGTCTTAAGCGGACCCTCAATTCTCACTCCAAGGCACCCGGAGAAATCTCTTTTGCCCGCCGTGCCTAAACGGCAAGACGGAGTACTCTCTTCCAAGGCTTCAGGTAGAGAGAGCTCATCCTCCACGTCTCACTACATGATGGTATGTCGATATATCCTTTTTTAGAGGAGGCGCCGTCTGGAGATATGACTCGTGTTTCGAGTTGAATGACACTATACCACATAGGCTCGGGATCGACATCCTCGCTTCATAGGCAGCACGAACTCCCAGTTCAGGGCTTGATTTTGTTCTAGGATTCCAGCTCCAATATTTCACTCAGCTGCCGGGGGACGTAGTTCCTAGTGCCGAAAGACTGTGCATGAAAATGACCCTGACTATCTTCGAGAGCCTACCGCGAGCAGAAGTTGCTTTGGCCGTCTCCCTAAGATGTAAACCCGCCGACATACCATTACCTTATCCGACAATATAGTATTATAAGCTGAGAATGGTTGCATAGGCGCATGTGGACCTCACCTCTCGCCAGTCATCTTCCTGGTGTCCTTGTTGAAGGGATTGTCGCGAACATGCAGAAACCGGCTATAGGACCCAGAATAGCAGTTATATTGCACCTAACAAAAGTAGCTCGGAGCTTTCTCCGCTATTGCACAAATGAAACGCAAAAACTCAATCGTGGCTCGCTAATAGACACGGAACTTTCGAGCCTCTGTTACTCGAACGAGTTAAAGAGCAGAGCCCATGTAAGTCCATGAGATCTCAGGGTCCACTTCCAGACTTGGCTTGCTGCCCTTGTGACATTCATTGTCTGCATGGTCAGCCCCCCTCTAATCTTGGAGAAAACGTCGCTCTCTCATCTTGAAACAGTCAAACGCGACGGATTGACGGACCGTTGCACCGGATATGTTGAGATGGAGGTGCACTCCTTCGAGGCTTGCTCCGGGGGCAAAAGAAGGACAATCTCACCTTAAGAAAAGGTATATAAAGGCCAACATTGTCGTGCTCAAGTTGGTCAACCATCTCTGCTGGACAGACAACAAAGACAAGACTTCTTTCATTCTCTTCTGCATCAAAAATGTATCAACGCGCGCTCCTTTTCTCTGCTCTTGCGGTGGCCTCCAATGCTCAGCAGGTCGGCACGCAGAAAGCGGAAACCCACCCTGCTCTGACCTGGCAGAAGTGTACTGCTGCTGGCAGCTGCACTGAGCAGAGCGGCTCCGTTGTGATTGATTCCAACTGGCGTTGGCTTCATTCTACCAAAGATACCACCAACTGCTATACTGGCAACACGGTAGGCATCTGCACTGGCAGCCGTATCGAAGAACGCAATTTTGCTAATAATGCCAACAGTGGAACACGGAGCTCTGCCCTGACAACGAATCCTGCGCTCAGAACTGCGCTTTAGATGGAGCCGATTACGCGGGCACTTACGGTGTCACTACCTCTGGCTCCGAACTTAAGCTCAGCTTCGTCACCGGCGCCAATGTTGGCTCGCGTTTGTACCTCATGAAGGATGATGAGACCTATCAGCAATTCAACCTGTTGAACAACGAGTTCACCTTCGATGTCGATGTGTCGAACCTTCCCTGCGGTCTGAACGGTGCTATGTACTTTGTGGCTATGGATGCCGATGGTGGCATGTCTAAGTACCCTAACAACAAGGCCGGTGCTAAATACGGAACTGGCTACTGTGACTCCCAGTGCCCTCGGGATCTCAAGTTCATCAATGGTGTGGTAAGGATCAATCTTCACAATGGGCGATCTAATCGAGGATCACATGGAAGCTGACGATAACACAGGCCAACGTGGAAGGCTGGACTCCCTCCAGCAACGACAAGAACGCAGGCGTTGGTGGCCACGGATCCTGCTGCCCTGAGATGGATATCTGGGAGGCTAACAGCATTTCCACTGCCCTGACTCCTCATCCTTGTGATGATGTCTCGCAGACCATGTGCAGCGGTGATGACTGCGGTGGCACTTACTCTTCCACCCGTTATGCAGGCACTTGTGATCCTGACGGCTGTGACTTCAATCCTTTCCGCATGGGCAATGAGACCTTCTATGGCCCTGGCAAGATCGTCGACACGAGCTCCAAGATGACCGTAGTGACTCAGTTTGTTACTGCTGACGGCACTGACAGTGGTGCTCTTTCCGAAATCAAGCGTCTCTACGTACAGAACGGCAAGGTGATTGCCAACGCTGTCTCCAATGTTGCCGGCGTGTCTGGCAACTCGATCACCTCGGACTTCTGCACGGCCCAGAAGAAGGTCTTTGGTGATCAGGATATTTTCTCGAAGCACGGTGGTCTGAGCGGCATGGGCAGCGCCCTGTCTGAGATGGTTCTCATCATGAGCATCTGGGACGACCACGCTGCTAGCATGATGTGGCTCGACAGCAACTACCCCACTGATGCTGATGCCTCGACCCCTGGCGTTGCCCGGGGCACTTGCGAGAACGGTGTCGGCGACCCGGCAACCGTCGAGGCCCAGCACCCTGATGCCTCCGTGACTTTCTCCAACATCAAGTTTGGTCCCATTGGTTCGACCTACAGCGCTTGAGCAATTTGACAGAAAAGTCATGCTCGAATGTGGAGACACAGATTGTGTCTGTAATGGTATGAGGGCAGGCTCCCTTGAGAATGGCAGGGAACTGCAGTGTCCCCTCGCAGACTCGTATATAGTCAGATACACGATTGACATGGACCCTGCCGAGTGTCAGGGCAGGATCTCAACTTGCTGCTTTCTTATTCTGTCACCTTCTTTGTGAATTTCCGGTTTGGTTTCTGCTTTCCAAATGATGCAGTCTTTCACTATTTCTTTAGAAAGCATCTCGACGTTGACTTCTCCTGTACATATGAGGTTGAATTGAAGAATTTTTTGTTGCCGTTTTGCAAGATCATTGTCCTCGTTTCTGGCGACCACAGATGACACCTTGTATTCGTAGTCTCGAAGCAAACTTAGGAAGATCTATTTGATCGCCTTCAGGCTGCAGTGCCTTTACTCAATTCTTACACATCCAAATCTCCTTCTCATTGGAGTCTATCTCTATGCATTAACCCATGGCAATGGAGAATCAGCAGAATCATAATCAACTTTCTTCAGATCCAAGTGAAGCTCTACTGTGGAGGGGGAGTGAGTGCAGAACTGTATTGGCAGCACAACGGAAATCATCTTGATACAGACACAATGTGATCGATCTAAAGAGAGATGCAGTCACGTACAGGATGAGAAGAAAAGTAGATCAGGCTACTCGGGGCGGTTGACAGAGTACCTGGACGACCCTTGACAAGAAACAAGATATATACCAAACGAGGAAACATGTCACTACCTGATGTCGAGAACACCTTGATAATTCTGTACGCGACACTCTGAGCCTGTCTGGGCGGAATAGCCGCGTTCTGGAATTGATTCAGGCTTTATACTTATCATCACTGTTCAGCATGTCTTACTTTATCACTTATGGCTAGCAGGGGGTGAGGCATTGCATTTGGCATCGATCCTAGGTTTCATTCAAGCTATGATGACCGGCTCAAGACTCAAGCTGTATTTATGACGTCTAACGCTGCTAGAGATGGAAAACTCCCACCATCACCAACCAACCAAGCCTATTCTCACTGCCAACAGGATGGATTCTTCAGCATCTCACAGGCTCTTTGGGGTTCCAGAGCTTCTCGAGGAAATCCTCCTCCAAGTTGATCTACCCACCTTGCTCACTTCAGCTCAGCGGGTCTGCTGTATGTGGTATCGTGTCACCCAAGATTCAAGTGCTCTCCAGAAAGCTCTCTTCTTCAAGCCTTCTGAGAAGCGGGTTGACCCAGAGGAAAGACGTATAAACCCATTCGTCGAGTCAAATCTCTGGCATGGTCTATTTCGCAAACGCAAACAGACCCATAAACGCTCGCCGGCGCAATCCGAGGCCTTGCCTCTTCTTGGACCCCACGAGGAGGAGGTTTATCTTCGAAGAGAAGCCAGTTGGAGACGCATGCTGCCCCAGCAGCCACCCTCCAACAACATCACCGTTGTTGGACCTTGGTACCTGGATATCAGAACGCTTATCTCCTCGCAACTCACGCTCAAACCTCACAGAGACTGTCGTCGACTGGGAGATTTGTATTCCGGCATCGAGAAGGGGGTTATTTTCCCAGCGCAGGATCCATTCGTGTTCCGGTTCGCTGTATTTTCCGAAATACTTGAGCGGGAACTGAGGTCTCTGTGGTCCACCATCCCTATCTCGAAGCTCCTTATTGATTGTGATGTTGTATTCTTCCATATGGGCTGGGATCCCAGGTATGACAGTTGGAACGAATTCGAGAATTGGCTGTGGCCACTGGGCAAATTTGAATTCACTTTCGGCGGGGGTTTATATAATAACTGGGACTTTGGCTCCCCAAGAGTAAAGTATGGGAGCGAAAGTACGGCGATTAGACTCAACTGTACTTGATCATCTTGCTCTCTTGCTCTTTCTGGATAGAGGAGCTAGTGTAGAACTATTCCCTCTTTGGTCATGCAGGAATACGAAGATCAGTTTCCGAGTATATTAACAGCGGCTTCTAGTCACTTCCTTGTCCATCTAGCTATTCACCGCAGCAGGCGGACGGAAGTGTCTCAATCCCGGTCTGGTATTCATTCCTCATAATCAAAATCAATTAGTTGACTTTCAGAATTCAGAGATGACGGAGTTTAGGGCACGGTTGAGAGTAGGACAGTTGGCATACGCTATAGGAACCCACTGGCGGAAGATTCATCGGCCCGTACGTACCCACTTTAAATGTCATCTATTCTAGAGCTCCTTCAAGGAGAAGTGAAGAAAGACCTTGAATTGCCTCCTCCTCACGCCATGTTTGACACGGTCTGCACCCTCCCGCTCTCAGCGGACCTGTTCTCGCAGGCCATTCATCCGCGAGAGCCAATTGTCTCTGTTGGGCTGTCTACTGGCCACGTCCAAACTTTTCGGCTTCCGTCGGAGGAGAGCGACAGCGACGATGACGGGGCTGAGTCGACTTCCTCGTCACGCAATGGCAAGGGACACATTGATACGATGTGGAGGACCCGCCGACACAAGGGGAGCTGTCGGTGTTTAGGGTTCGGGGTGGATGGGGAGATGCTGTACTCTGCGGGGACGGATGGGTTGGTCAAGGCCGCAAAGGCGGAGACCGGCGTGGTGGAAAACAAAATTGCGATTCCTCCTGCGAAGGATGGGTGAGTCAATTGGGTTTTGCGCCGCAATTATGCTACTTCTCTGTGGGTGGTTTAAACTAAGTGACTGTTATGGCAGATCGGTCGATGCTCCGACAATCGTTCATGCGCTCTCCCCTCAGACTCTCCTCCTCGCTACCGACTCCAGCGCACTCCATCTCTACGACCTTCGAATCCCCTTCTCACCCGTGTCTGCTCGGCCGCAGCAGACACATCATCCCCATGATGACTACATTTCGTCTCTTACACCGCTCCCTCCGTCGGATACCAGCACCTCGGGCTTCAGCAAGCAGTGGGTGACTACCGGTGGCACTACGTTAGCCGTTACAGACCTCCGCCGCGGTGTCCTAGTGCGCAGCGAAGATCAGGAAGAGGAATTGGTAAGCTCCGTTTACATCGGCGGATTACCCGCGGGGGGGACGAGCCGCGGTGAAAAGGTGATCGTGGGAGGTTCCAGCGGGGTCTTGACACTCTGGGAGAAAGGGGCCTGGGATGACCAAGACGAGCGCATCTACGTCCAGCGTGAAGCCGGAGGCGGGGAGTCGCTGGAGACCCTGGCGGTTGTTCCTGACGAGCTCGGAAAGGGCAAGATGATTGCGGTCGGCCTTGGAAGTGGTGGAGTGAAATTCGTCCGGATCGGTATGAACAAGGTCGTTTCGGAAGTCATGCATGACGAGACCGAGGGCGTCATCGGTCTGGGATTCGACGTTGAAGGACGCATGGTCACTGGCGGCGGTCAGATCGTCAAGGTCTGGCACGAGGCCGTCGGCTCAGATGGAATGGACGGGGATATGGCGGGCGGGAAACGCATGTTTGGCGGCGATAGTGACGACAGCGACGATGATGCCGACTCGGATGATAGCGATCGTGAGAGTCGCAAGGCTGCTCCGCCTCAACGAAAGCGCAAGAAGAACAAGGGCAAGGGAGGCCAAGACATTATGGCCTTTGCCGACATTGATTGATTTGACTCGGCTTGACTTGATTTCCGGATACCCCAAAAGCTTTTGAAAGACCAAAAGTGGATCAGTGTGGTATAGCATGCATATATCGGTGTTTATGCGAAAGAAAAGCTGGAATGACCGTGGGTGGTTGATCTTCGACGAAACATGTAACTATATCAAGGCATCACAGTACATTATTAATCATACCTGGTACCCCTGTATTCAACAGAAATGAAGACACATACTTGATGTATGCTACTAGGAGACATCTGCATCCACTTCTGCTTGAACCTCCAATAGCAGCAGGGGCATACTGTACCTTGGATGGTGTTCTATGGGGCGGAATTGGAGACGGGGGATTTCCGACTTGGTTAACTTTCTTACTCGGAGTGACAATGGATTGACAGAGCCAACATCAGAATAATAACATGTAGTCAACTCCATTCGGTACCTTTGTCTCCATTCTAAATTCAACAGAAATGATTGTTAAAAGCACTACATCCACTTCAACGGGATCATCCACTTGTCAACTGCCGAGAACTCAACGGCCTGCAAAAGAGACCCACGGCAAAGGACTTTGCCTAAGGCTTCGCTCCAATCGCTCATGACGTTGAAGAGGATTCGCACCCCCCGATGGTGGGGTGTGGGGAAAAGAGGTTATTATTCATGGCTGATCAAGCCTCATCCCGAGCGACAATGGGCTAGCAAACCTATACTTATGGCCATGCTGCCCTGTTCTCCTCCTTTGTTCTGTCATTCCATTTTCATCGCCCCTTGAGAGGCCCGTACCAGTCAAACCTCTGATCACAGCACAACCGTGACCATACACATTGTCAAGATGGACGCCTTTGAGTACAATGCAAACCCCGGCCGAGTCATCTTCGGCAGCGGTACTATTCAAAAGCTCCCCGATGAGATCGCCCGACTTAACCTGAAGGCCCCGCTGGTGCTGTCGACACCGCAGCAGGTCGAGCAGGCCGAGGCCGTCAAATCAGTTCTCAAGGGCCAAGTGGCTGGCATCTTTTCCGAAGCTACGATGCACACCCCTACCCATATCACGGATAAGGCAGTCGAGTATGCGAAGGCCCAAGGAGCGGATTTGGTCGTCTCCATCGGCGGTGGAAGTACCATTGGCCTGGGCAAGGCGATCAGCATCCGGACCGGCCTTCCTCACATCTGCATCCCGACTACATATGCTGGTAGTGAGATGACTCCTATCCTGGGTGAGACTGCGGACGGACTGAAGAAGACTCGCTCGGACCCCAAGATTCTCCCTGGGACGGTCATCTACGACGTCGATCTTACCATGACTCTACCTGCAGCAATGAGTGCGACGAGCGGTGTCAATGCAATTGCCCACGCTGGTTAGTGAAATGGTGTTTCTATGTCTATGACGTTCGAAAGGCTAATGGTCATGATAGTCGAGGCGCTGTATGCCCGCAACACAAACCCTGTCATCAACCTGATGGCTGTTGAAGGCACCCGGGCACTGGCATCTGCCCTTCCAGAGATCGTTGAGAACCCTTCCTCGAAAACTGCTCGCTCGCTGGCTCTATACGGTGCCTGGCTCTGTGGTACTTGCTTGGGTAGCGTGGGTATGTCCATCCACCACAAACTCTGCCACACTCTCGGCGGTAGCTTCAACCTGCCTCACGCGGAGACGCACACGGCTGTCCTGCCGCACGCTATCTCCTACAACGCTCCCAAGATTCCTGAGGCTATGAAAAAGCTTGCAGAGGCTCTTCCGGACAGCAACGGAGATGCTATTCACGGCCTCAATGTCTTGCTGGACAAGCTCAAGGTCAAGCGGGGTCTCAAGGAGTTTGGCATGAAGGAGGAGGATATTGACAAGGCTGCAGACATTGCTGTAAGCAATCCTTACTGGAATCCTCGAGATATTGAGCGTACTCCTATCCGGGAGTTGATCCGGAGGGTATGGGCCGGCGAGCCGGCGAGAGCAGATCTTTAGATAGCACCTGTCATATATCCTACTATAATTATGTAAATCCAATTTCAAATACTATACCCATGTTAAGAAATGTCCCTAATGAGAAAAAAAAAGATCTAATCGCCTCTTTGGACGATTATCGTACCATCCCATCAGTCCCATTGGCTGCGGGTCTGGATGGCGGGGTGAAGTGGGGGATTTCTCTCGCCCTCACCAAAAAATAAAAATTTCCACCATCACAACATCCCAACTTTCGGAACGAATTCCTCCACCTGCCTTTGCCTGTGGCCTGTATTCGAAATGGCAACCGAAATGCAGGCGGCGCCCGTTCTCTCAACGCCAGATTCTCTCATACTCGAGGCCACCGAACCCGTCGCCCGCCAGAATGCGACTCGCACTGTGTCGGATGAAGAGCTCTCCATCACCTACGATATCGAGCGCACGTTGCAGGAAATCCGCCAGGCACGGTACAAGCGCATCGCCCTGCAGTTCCCAGATGATATGCTTCCAGATGCTCCTCGTGTTTTCCAGCTGCTCAGCCGAGGTCTTGCGCGGCGCGACGTCGACAACACCAATGCCGAGAACAATAGTAACGGAACGGACGTTGCGGAATCGGAGAACCTAGCTCAAGATGTCTCTCAACTTAGTGTCGATGATGAGCCGGAGCCGGAACCCAGATTGTACATATTGGCGGATACATCTTACGGGACCTGCTGTGTCGACGAGGTCGCTGCAGAACATGTCAATGCGGACGTTGTCGTGCATTACGGGCGCTCGTGCTTGTCGCCTACGGCCAGACTACCTGTTATCTACGTCTTCACTCACAAGGGGTTACCTATTGAGCCGGTCATCCAGGCATTCAAAGCGACATATCCGGATCAGGCCACCAAGGTCATACTCGCGGCCGATGTGACCTACTGCGACCATATTCCTGCCGTGTACGCGCGCTTAGTTGAGGAAGGATACACAAACCTCTACGCTACGGAGTTAATCCATTGTCCATCGTCTGCCATTCCCAATCGGACGGTGCCGGACTCCGTGCGTGAGAACCCCGAATCGCTGTCGGAATGGCAGCTCTTCCACATCTCCGACCCGCCGACTGCGCTCCTCCTGACGCTCGCATCCCGCGTGGCTGCGATCCACATCTATCCTACCACCGACGCGCCGAGCGAGAATGTCAAGCCGCTGCCCGCGTCGACGTCGGCTGCCTTGGGGCGTCGCTACGCGATACTGACGAGGCTCAGTACCGTCCCTATTTTCGGGATCTTGATCAATACGCTCAGTGTGAAGAACTACCTTCACATCGTGGAGCATGTAAAGCAGAAGATTGCAGCTGCAGGAAAAAAGAGCTACATGTTTGTTGTCGGCAAACTCAATGCCGCCAAGGTGGCTAACTTCAGTGAAATCGGTGGCTGGGTGGTGATTGGCTGCTGGGAGAGTTCCCTGGTCGACAGCAAAGATTTCTGGAAACCGGTGATCACCCCGTTTGAGTTGGAGCTTGCTCTCAAGGGCGACAACGAGCGGGTCTGGACTGGAGCCTGGCAGAGCGACTTTCAGAGCATCCTTGACCAAACTACCGACGAAGCGCAAACAGCCGACGAGGAAGCATCGCCAAACGGCGACGATGACATGTCGGAATCCGAATCTGCACCCCCGGAGTTTGATCTGCGAACCGGCCGGTATGTCTCTCACACGCGTCCGATGCGGAATCCTGCACCCCGCGTTTCTGCTCAGGGTGATGATGCAGTCTCTGCTGTCAGTGGACCGGCCGCCGCCCGAGCCCTAGCCAGACGAGCTAAAGGCGACTTGGCCATGATCGGCGGAACCGTCTCTCCAGGGGCAGAATTTCTACGGTCGCAACGGACTTGGAAGGGGCTGGGCAGCGACTTCCATATCCAGTACGACGAAGAGGATCCTAGCGACAGCACCTTGGTGGTAGAAGGGCGCAAGGGCATTGCAAGGGGATATACGGTGGGGGATTCAATAGAGAAACACTAGTTTAGGACGCAATCAAGTAGTATAGATACCCTGGATAGAGGCTTAACGAAGTCGGTTACCAAAATTTGTTTGACACATCAGTAGATCCAGCTCCTATGGGTTAGCTAGAGTATATTCGACCAATAATTGTGTAAAGAATTGATAATTGATTGGCGAAACATTTTATTCCTCAGGAGCAAAGAAAAGTGTCTCGCGCGACACCCAGGGCGACCTATCACATGATGGAAATGGGCAGATCTCAGGCGTTGGGTTTTATCCCAACTTACTGAGTTGGCAAAGCACAACACCCAGCCAGGTGGTGGTGTTATCATCTCCTTTATTCCCTCTTTCTCTTTCACTCCTTTGCCCTTAGATGGCTTCCGCATGGTGTCCATCTTTGGAGTGCACTCCTTGCCTTGCGCATCTTAGCCCGTCTTCTCTTCCCTTATGATGGGCGTCGCCTGCATTCTCCGCTTCACTCCCGGCCTCGCGTCACTTTGATCCTCAGCAGCAGTGCTAGAGGGGGTGGGAAAAAAGAAAAGAATACGCTGCCATGTCTCTCTGTGAATCTTCGGCCTCTGAACCGGAGGTGAAAAGTTGCGATTTAGATGAGATGGAGGAGGATACGACTTCAGTTTTCTCGGAGTCCTCATCGGAGCAGTCTGTCACCCCGGCTCAGCGGTCTCTTTCGATGTTTGAGCGAGTCATCACCACCCACGCGCCTATTCTTGAATCTCTTCTACTCCAGACTCCCACCGATGCTATCCTAAAGCTCTTTCATACCTCCCGCTACCTTCGATCCTTCCTCCAATCTTACCCAACGGCATGGAAGTACCTCTCGTTCCGCTTGTTCTACCCATCCGGCAGTCAGTTCCCGCTCCGGATCATATTTCCTGGAGGAGCCGAGTCGGTGATGCCACGCCAGTCGCGGTCATATGCTCTCGATCAACTGTTGATGAACGTGGTGGTTCCGTTCAGCCCGTGTCTGAAGAGTCTAGAGCTGGATAATACCGCGGTCTCGGGGCAGATTCTAATCTCTACTGTTTTGCACTCGCGACGAGAAACCCTGGAGCACCTTTCTGTCCGCGGCTGCAAGAATGTCTCTCTCAAGTACCACATTATCCCCTATCTGACCATGTTCGGGCTCCAGTACGACGTGGACATGGAAAAGAATATCGGCAGCTCCTCGTCGACGAAACGACTTGCGCTCAAAAGTCTCTACACCTACCGATGCCGGCATCATAGACGCAGACCGTACCTCTCATCTTCTCTCGTGCGAAAGGATTCTGACTCCGAGCCTACGCATGAATTGGTCAGCCTCTGTCACAAATTGGGGATCTGGACTGACACTGCATGGTGCTCTACTCCTGCCGGAAGATGCTTCCGGAGAAGGAGCTATGTTTCTATGAGGGTCCCTCAAGGTTCTGCCGAAGTATGGGTGGTTTTTGATCGGCTGTGGAGGTCTAAGAATTGGATCGGCCCAGTGGAACCGGGCAGTCGGCCAAGCCAGAGAGATGGGAAGCTGTGGGAACACAGCGAGACCGGCTGCAATGGCGAGCCACTCGGCACCGGAGAAGGACAGGAGCCGGGCGAAGGCAAGATGACGCCTGCCCATCTGCGCTCGAGCCACACTCGTTTTGTTGACAACGTCCGCTGCGACAATTGCTTTGAGGAGATTTCTGAGAGATGCGAACAATGTAGTATTTTGATGCACTGCGTCGGGTGTCGAAAGACCCTGTGTGCGAGCTGCGCGTATGACCGACCTTATCTCCACAGTCGCACCAGTTCGTCAGCGCCAGAGGACGCAGCGAAAAGCTTCTGGTGGGCACCTGGTGCTGTTGTGTCCCCGTGTCTCATGCAGGATCCTCTCAGAAGCACGACGGACAACGTCTCTGTCAATCCCAATGACCCAGTGCCTTATCCGAACCTGAAATTTCATTGGTGTTGTACCGAGCCCATATTTTCTGGAGGCGGCGGCATCAGCATCGGCACCCCTAACCGGGACGTGGACCAGGTGCGCGCAGCTCCTTTGCCCCGGGGTCAAGGCTGGGAGGATTTGGAATACTCGGCCAACGAGTGGAGCAAGACCTTTCCCAAGTATGCTTACGGTGACCCGCGCAAACCAGACTACTCCCTTGAGACAGGTCATATCGCCATGATGAAATGGCTACTGGGACCGCCAGATCGCCAGCCTACAGCATGTCCTCGGAATCTGTGCCAAGAATGTTACGACGCTCCTCAGTGGAAGGTTCATTGCAAGAGTTGTTCGAAGCCATTGTGCATTGAGCACGACTTGCGGGGCCTCCGTCTTCGCATCTGCGGTTATCGGGACCTGGCTTTGGAGAAGATGGCTATTCAGAACCCGTCCGGGCTGAGGTCCGATCAGCTCAACACCGAATTGATGCGAGAGCTCGGCATTGCACAGCCCGGGCTTGCGGGTTCCTCTCCCGAAATCGAGCTACCTTACCGGACCCTGCGCATCTTCGATTCTACGACTAGCAGTTTCACTGAAGACAACGGGGACGGGGGTGCCATTGGCGATATGGGACATCCCGGCCTGCTGAGTTCGGGTATATCTTCCAGGCCTGTGGCACCTATCCACCGCCGCTCAAGAAGTTTCTCGGTCAGTAATTCAAACCGCTCTCGGTCCTCGTCGCCCTCGTCCTTCTTCTGCGAGTCGCCGTTTGATTCCCCAAGATGGCAAGGCTGCCAGTCCTTCTTTTGCCCTCAAGTTCGCGCGGTCGGTGACCAGCGCCAGAGATGCTCTAGTATCCTTCGGGAATGCACGGCCTGCTCGGTCTACGTCTGCCAGGATTGTATCAATGTCAACCCGCCTTGCAACTGTTCCTTTTGTCAAGTGCACTACCACTGCCCGAATTGTATGAAGCTCCGTGAGCGGGATGGGACATGTCGTCGGACGGCAGAAGAAAAGGCGCGACGGGAGCAGAAGTGGAAGCAAGACATGCAGGCTCTGGAAGCGATTCTGGAGTTCAAGCTGGCGGACGAGGTTGTGGAATTTGCAGGACAATTCTTCGACCTGGTTGAGGCCATGTCAGACGTGGAAGTACACGAGGTGGAGGATATTCAGCAGAACGAACCATCGGCCTCGATCTTCGCATTCAATCAGAGTCCTCTCGGAGCGGAATTCCTGGTGGATGATGTATTGACTGACAGTTCCGAGTGAGATTCTCGACTGCTTGTCTTCGACTGCCTTGTCTTCGGTATCAGTAATGTGTGTTTAGCGATATGTTCAACAGCGTCGGGCTTTGCGCGGGAAGCAAAGCATTCATGTGATGGGAGTTAGGCGTGACGACTGCTCTATTCGCATTATTGTCATGCAGCTAGCGAGTATGTTATGGCATCTGGTCATTGTTCGGGTCAATTACTAGGAAGAGTCTATTTGTTATTCTGTGTATGTACCTTGTAAGGAAGTCCGGTCACTTAGCTACAGGGAATTGAGCAGAACAAAGCAATGAAATGTGAAGCTACATGATGGACTCATAGATTTTGACCAAAGGGTAGATAAACTGATACTATCTAGTCTCGACCCTCAAGCTCTCAACCATGAAAGCAGAGGTCTCCACAATCGACAGCATAGCTGCGGAACGGCCCCGCCAACCGCCGTGACCGACAGAAGGTACTCGAATTATATCCAAAAGGCGCAGCTCGATCTTCTCTTTTTCGGCAGCCGACAGTCTTGCCTACTTAATCTACCTCTTCCTTAAAATCAGATCGTTCTACCAGTCACTGTCAGAGGTAAGCCTCCAAGCTACTAACCCCGCGCAAAAAGCCGCTAACCCCACACGTCAATTATCCAGCTCCAAGCCTCAATCGATCAACAGCTACATACACCCAACGAACCCCCAGACACCCATAACAATGTCATCCACAGATCTCGAACATGACCCCACACCCAAGGACGTCGCCGATCGCGAACACGAAGAAAAAGAGCGCAAGGCGAAGGAAGCCGCAGAGCAGGCCCAGCTCCCCTACAAGTGGACGCAGACGATCCGCGACGTGGACGTGACGATTCCCGTTCCGGCGAACATCAAAGGACGGGATCTGGACGTTGTGTTGACCAAGACGAAGATCAAGGTTGCGATTAAGGGGCAGGAGGCGTTTATTGAGGTGAGCACTGCTGGGGTTGGGCCCTGATGGATGTTACGGTAAATGTGGAAGGGAAGAGGAGCTAATATGATGAGCGTAGGGCGACCTTCCTCATCCTATTCTTGTCGATGAATCCTCCTGGACGCTGGAGACGACGTCCAAGCCTCCCGGGAAGGAGGTCTCGGTTCACCTGGACAAGGTCAATAAGATGGAATGGTGGCCTCATGTTGTGACGACGGCGCCGAAGATCGATGTGAGCAAGATCACACCGGAGAACTCGAGTTTGAGTGATTTGGACGGCGAGACGAGGGCGATGGTCGAGAAGATGATGTACGATCAGCGGCAGAAGGAGATGGGCGGGATGACTAGCGACGAGCAGCGGAAGATGGACATCCTGAAGAAGTTCCAGGCTGAACATCCAGGTATGTTTTTTAGCTTGACTCGGCATGGTCTAGGTTCTAATGGGTTACAGAGATGGACTTTTCGAATGCAAAGATCGGTTGAGGTAGTGCGGGTCTACTGCTTGTTGATTGTGTATGAATGAATGATTATCAGTGTACTTGAGGTTAACAGGGAACTCTAATGGAGCCTGATTATCCTTATTCATCTGTTTGACTGAACAGGACTTGATCCAAGACTCACTGCTGTTTCTATAGAAGAACTGCTTTTACCATTTCGGGTAAGGCCAGCACAAGCGAATGCGAGAGTTGCCGTTCTGGGACTAGTGCCACATCTATAGGATGGTCTTACCGTCTTCTCGTATTCCCATCAGCCTCACCATCATTCTCCAGCACCCTTTCATGGACATGATGGACAGTCGTCCGAACATAGCATAGGCTGAGAGTGATGTAGATGAACTCAGCTCATCAGCCTTGACTCACGAGTCGAACCAATCCCATCGTGTGAAAGCGGATGACGAGACAAGCAAGGCGCAGCCAATCGAGCCCGATGAGGCATCTCCTATTCAGAGTCTTTATTTCTATCCATCTATAACAACCCTTCAAAGCTATAGTTGAAGCGCACTTTGGAGGCTCGAATTACAGAATTACAGCAGATATCCCCTGAGGATACAATGCTATCTACTCCGGAAACATCGGGTTCTCCCGAGGCCGCCAACAGAACCCAGTCAAAGACCAATCCGCAACCTTCCGGGCCGTCAGGACCTCTGCAAGGCCAGAAGAGTCTATTTCGAGTCCCCCTGTACCGATCCTCCGCTACTGGACCCTCAAGCAGCGAAGGGTCCACTGAGCGTGTGTACCATGCGCGGCGGCCGCACCGCAAATCCCGCTTCGGCTGTCTCGCTTGCAAGAGAAGACGAGTCAAAGTACGTTGCCTTTCCTGTTTCGTTCTGGCTTAGGTATTGTAGAGTATTCTGATGGTTTCAGTGCGATGAGACTCAACCCCACTGCCTGCGATGCCAGAAACATGGCGTTACATGTGTATATGCTGGTCAAGATTGCTCGGCCAACGAAAGGGGCGTTGTCTCCTTGTTCATTGAGAAAAAGCCTGAGCTGGTATCACCAAGTTCTAGAGAATATTCAATGTATCTCCTCGAAGTGGCAGAGAAAATAGATGATCTGCTGCAGCTTGGATCGAAGAAGCGACACTTACCCGATGCCGTTCGCGCTCTGCATCATTTCCATTACGCCACAACTCCTACCATTGCCAATCAGCGCACACAGAAACTCATGAGAAACCAATTGACCCAATTAGCCTTCAATGTCAGTCAATCTGTATCCGAGCACTGGGAAATACAGCTGACAGCCTCAGACACCCTTCCTCATGCACACCGTCATAGCGGTGGCAACCTCCCATCTTCGTTATGTTGTGCCTGACAACACCACTTACAAAATGGCCGAAGCGTATCACTGGCAACAAGCGATCAGCCAGTACTCCAAGGAGCTCGCCTGCACAGTCGGTCCGCACAACATGGACGCTCTCTTCTCCACATGCCTGCTCATGACCGTCCACTCGTTCGCACTGGAGGAATACAATCCCCGCAGATCCTTTGTCTTCTCCGACGACCCAGGAGCCCTGAGCTGGCTCACCTTACAGGGCGGTCTGCGGCACCTCCTGGGGCTCACCCAACCCTGGCTGTGCATCAGCATGTGGTGGGAGATCTTCATGGCGTCCCGCGAGGAGACTCAAGCCTTCGGCGACCACGGGCCCGGACGGGTTGGTCTGCACCCGGAGCTCGCTGATATCTGCGGTATCGACGACACAGCCACGGAAGAGAGTAATCCGTACCTGTGGCCGCTGCGGATGCTCACGCCCTTGCTCCAGGCCGAACGGTCCATCAAGAGCTTCTCGAAGTATACGAACTTCATGGGCCGTTTGTTGCCGAGCTTTTGGGCACAGCTAGCGAAGAAGGACCCGCCTGCGTTGATTATTCTCAGCTGGTGGCTGGCGCTGATGGACTCTGTTCGGCTCTGGTGGGCGGAGAACCGGGTGCGTTCCGAGTGTGCGGCTATCTGCATGTATCTCGAGAACAGCGAGGATCCGCGCATCTTGAAGCTGTTGGAGTTTCCGGCGGAGGTCTGTGGGTATCTGCTCAAGCATGTTCAGGAACGTGCTGAGATGGAGGGACCCTTGATTATACCATATGAGCCCCGTCAGCCGGTAGAATGATATCCAAGTCCAATGTTCATTCATAAACTACTCATCATTATTATAGATGCGTATGTGCAATATACCAAGTCAGTATTGACACTCCGTCCAACCATTGCGCCAGCCACTCAATCCTGCATGCATAGCATGATGTGGCCCAATCCCATTATCCGAAGAGCATAAAGAACGCAATGCCTCCATCCGACGACCATTGAGGCCAACCATTAATTACTGTAAAGTGCCCAAGTACGCTTCCCACCGAATCAAAACACCAGCCATAAGCCACGGAAGAAAGAAACAAAAAGCAAATGACTACTGCAATTTCGTTACTCGTTATTCACCTACTCTCCCACGAGAAGCGCCGCTGGCTCTCGAAACTGACCCTGCCATGCCCCGCAAGATCCCGCGGCAGACACTCCCGCCGAAACACTGGCCTGGACTGCGCAATGTGCGCCATAGGGGGCGGCGGAGGCAGCGGCGGTGGATTCAACGAGGAGATGGACATGGACCTCGACGGGGCAGGCGAGATCCGCGGCGAGTACGGCGGCGGGGGCGTCTCCCTCGTAGCCGTCGAGGTGTTGCCGTAGCTGCTTGGGAAGGAAATAGCCGACGAGACGTCCGAGGTGAGCTCGTCCCCGTCCGTGCCGGCAAAGTGGTGCGGGTTCTTCTCATCATGCAGTGAGGCGATGGAGCGTGATGACGAGACGGGCGGATCGCGCATGTGCGCTTCCAGCGTCTTTTCTTGGATGCTGCTCATCGGCCGCGGGGTGTACCGTGGCAGCGGAACGGGTGGGGTGTACCCATCCTCGTCGAAGGTCATGAAGACCGGCCCTTCATCGGAATGATGGTGAGAGGTGAAGTAGTTGTTGTCGTTGTGACGATGATGGGTTTCGGCCATTGCTCGGCCTGGAGCCGGGGCTGATGGGGAGCGCAGGGAACTCTTCGGGGCGAAGCACCCGCACAGCCCGCTGAGAATGGACATGACTGAACTGTTTGTACGAGGGCTTAAGGAGACCTCTGAATGATATGAAAGAATATAGGGGCTAATTTTATCATACGTATATATGCAAAGATAATGAGTAGTAATTGATTTGGTTCATCAATGGAGGCCAAGTAGTAATGTTGAAGACGCTCGGATCAATGGATTGTCAGATGTCAGCAAGGCTGACTCGAGGAGGTGTCTGGATTTCAGTGCAACATGACGCTCAGCGGAGTCCAGCGTGATAGCTGGACAGATGAATAGTCAATGAGCAGAAGAGGGCATACAAGAGAAGAAAGAAAAGAAAGAAAGAGAGAAGAGAAGATGACAGAAGTTGGCTTCGTATCCTGGCTGTGCCTCACTGCCTCAGGCCGGTCACAGTACCATAGGCTCAGGCATCCATATTGTCTCTTGCATATGATTGGCTGCAGCATCAACCGATTAGATACGCGGTACCGTTGGTATCTTTGCCTGAGGCATCCAGCAGTCTAGATTTTCCCCACTAAATTATTGTTATCAGTGATTTTTTTCCCGACATGCCTGAACAGCCTCCATCCAGCGCGATAGACACTCTTTCACCAAACTAAAAGAATAAATAAACGAAGTCAAACCAGTTACAATGTGGCCGGACGCAGATACTAAAGATGAAATTGTAACCATCATACAATCAGTCAAGCCTCCCACCGTCCCCCCGCATCGCTCCCACGACCCCGCCAACAACCTCAAGCGCACCGATCCCTACCAGTTCGGCTCCCGCTACCTCGAAGAAGGCGACGACGTCTTCGAGTTCAACGCCTGGGACCATGTCGAGCCGGACGACGAGTTCAAAGCCTTCGCTGAAGTGCAATACGCCAAGCAGCGCGAATTCCCCGTCTCAGACTTCGACAAGCAGCGCTTCAACAAGGACCCCGCGAAATGGTGGAATCTGTTCTACAAGAACAACACGGCCAACTTCTTCAAGGATCGCAAGTGGCTGCGGCAGGAGTTTCCCGTGCTGGCGGAGGTAACGCAGAAGGGGGCGGGTAGGAAGGTCGTGCTTGAGGTTGGTGCGGGGGCGGGTAATACGGCGTTTCCGCTCATCACGAACAATGAGAATGAGGAGTTGATGGTGCATGCGTGCGATTTTTCCAAAACGGCGGTTCAGGTTATGCGGGAGAGCGAGCACTATGATCCCAAGTTCATCTCGGCGGATGTGTGGGATGTGACTGCCGTGCCGGATGAGGAGAATAACGGACTTCCGCAGGGGTTGACGGAGGAGTCGGTAGATGTGGTCATTCTCATCTTCATTTTCTCCGCTCTGGCGCCCAGTCAATGGGACCAGGCTATCCGTAATGTCCATCGGGTATTGAAACCGGGTGGCCTCGTTCTGTTCCGCGACTATGGGCGCGGCGATCTGGCTCAGGTACGATTCAAAAAGGGCCGGTACATGGATGAGAACTTTTACGTCCGCGGCGACGGGACGCGGGTATACTTTTTCGAGAAAGATCAGCTGGAGAAGATGTGGGGGACATGGACGCCAGAGAAGGGCCTGCAGGTGGCCGAGGATAATACGATCGCTGCGGATTCTACCGAGGGCGCATTCGAAGTCGACAAGATAGCCGTCGATCGACGCTTGATTGTCAATCGCCAGCGGAAACTCAAGATGTACCGCTGCTGGATCCAGGCCCATTACAGAAAACGCGAGACACCTGCTGCCGTGGAAGCTGAGAAGACGGATTCGTGAATCGTGTGTGATGCTGCACAGCCATATTATGATAGACGCGGAGTCTGAGCCGTTGCTCTTAACGCTGTGGCTGCCAGGTCACCACATATCCAACCGTCGTCGGTCTCACCTCAGCAAGCGCAGCTTCACCCACGCTGGTGTCTCTGTCTTCGTTCAAGATAGAACCAACCTCTACAGCCGCTATCGCTGTGGACCTTGAACAACGTCGCCTAGAGATGGGTCATCGAGCGATAGCCCTGCGACATTAATGTCCGGCAGTAATGGCAGGTCTCAGCCATAGAGATAATGATGTTATGACATGAAGCATATAGACAGGATAGAGTACCTGCATTCAATTTAATATCTTGTCAAGTTACTTGACGCAAATGATTTGTTCCGACATTTGCTCATTCTTATTTCTTTGAATTGCATGCTCTCGAGGAGAAGCATTGTATATACCAGGGACCGACGTATGTACTCAACTAAATGACAGCAAGTCGCACAAAAACCAAAGTTCGACTAACAGAACAACAAAAGCAGCTGGACAGTAAGAACAGAATCCGGTCTCTAGCCATGCACAAGCAGCTATGCAACGGCCCAGAGGTTCCAGTAGGAGTATTTACAAGAAGGGATCTCGAAAGAATGGACAAGTCGCAATCACAACATCAGCAAAACGAGCAACGCTCCCCATGCAATCGCAGTGACTCAACAGCAAGAGCTCGAAATGTGCTCGAAGAAGTCTTATAACGCAAGGACTTGCAGAAGACCGAGTCAACTGCTGACAGGTACGTGACCGTAAGTCTTTGTGGTCAATGTCTAAATGCTTTTGTGTATGGCAATCAGAAAATGTCGTGGATCTCATTCGTAGCCGACCGTGCGCATGAACGTTGAATCATCTGCTCAGACGCTTCACGTCGTCAAACTAGGACATTCTCCCTGAGCTCTGATGAAAGCACCGGCGAACAAATCCTGCATGGCGCAGTAGTGGAACAGTATACCACCGAGCACGGCCAGATGCCAGATGTTGTGGCTGCCACCGAAGTAGTCGAAAAGCCCAGGACGCCACCGCTCAGGAACCTGAGAGGCGTAGATGCAGGCTCCGGCAAAGTAGACCAGAATACTCTTCATGACGGGAGCATAGAAGTAAAGACACCAGGCGAATCCTCGGGTATAAGTGAGCTGGAACAAAGGCGCAAATCCTGTGAGCGCAAGCGTCACAAAGAATGCCACACGAGCCCAGGCCAAGTCGTTTCGATTAAAAGTGGGATGCCAGGGCAGAATGACACCGCCAATTCCGAGCGACATGGTCAGCAGAATATAAGTCCAGCGAGAAACTGGCTCGCAGTAGAAAGCCGTGTACTCGGTCGTCACAATAGAGGCGGCCACCAGAAGCGAGATCCCCGTGTAATCGACACACGCGAATCGCTCCATAAGAGGCTGGTTGGCAATGCTGTTCATGGTGTGCCACAGGGTACTGCAGACCAGACACTTGCACGCAGCAAAGAAGAATACAGCAGCGATCGCCACATCGGTCTTGGTGCTCAGGTGGAAATTAGGATTCAGCGGGTAAAAGTAGAAGGCGACCGAGAGGACAATGAAGAGACCGATCAGATGCGACCAGATATTGACGGTTTCGTTGCAGAAGCTGAAGACCGACATGAGACATTCCACCTTGGATGAGGAAAAGCGATACCCCTGCAAGATGTGGGGGTTGATTCGCCACGGGTGAGGAAGGTCGGCGTAAGTGATCAATCGCTGCTCTTGAGCCAGCAAGATGGCACGATCAATGCTCTCCCGCAGCACATCCTTGGCTCGTCGAGCTCGTTCCATCCCCTCGTCGACCACCTCACGAGCGTGCACCAGCTTCGAGTCGACCGCCTTCCATCCGTCGTCCAGAGCGCCATAAATCCCGCGATCCCGAACCGCATGGGCTCGAGATTCCAGCTCGACCAGGAAGGACTCCATCAGGCGTACCCCGGCTTGAGCTTTTTGCTCTAGAGTCTCCTTCGTAGCCAGCGCTTCGTTGTAGCGATCCTCGAGGGTTTCGACCAGGATCTTGGCTCTCTTCTTTCCACCTCCCATAAGCTCCCCGGAGGCGTAGGAGCATGAGTCCCTCACGGCTTCGAGTGTCGCATACGCTCTGCGAAGACTCGAGTCGATCTGAACCATGTGCGACTTTCGATACTCTTCGATCCAGTGCATGCGTCTCTCCAATTCCGCCAGAAAGAGCTCAACCTGATGAACGTCAGAACAGAGTACACTCTGTACAGCGGAGCTTGACCTTACCCTCAAAAAAATAGCATCGCCATCATAGTCACAAGACAGCTTCCGAGCCGTATGGAAAGAGTGCCTCCGCCTTCGATCTCGCAAAAGACTGGTTTCCTCGTTGGGAGTCGACGCAAAAGAGGTTGAGGCCGCGTCTGGATACGACTCGAGGGTCACAGATTGCGTTGTGCAGGCCATTGATGATCAATAGACAATTCAAGCCGAGATTCGTCCACCACCTTGATATCTGGATCTCAAATCCGCATAGTCTTGTAGGTTTGTCGAGGTCTCAGTGAGGAGGTACGAAGTGGGAATTGTCTTGCTGTTGTTATTGTTGGGAGCCGAAAAGCGGATCCTCGGAACGATATTCCAGATCGACGAAAAGCACGGAGTAAGGGGAGAGGTCGGTAATTGGGTGGAGAGGTTCACGGTAATTGCTTTTATATCAGATCAAAGACTATTTAAAAGCAGACGACCAAACTTGAAGAGAGGAGAGAGAGGAGGATGAGAGACAGAGAGTGAGAGACAGTCAGACAGTAAGAAAGAGATAGATCGATCGGGCGGGGGGCGATAGATAATACCTGACGAAGAGACATGGATGAAGCGAAACAGCAGATTGGAGGAGGAATGGGACCAAGAGGGGCAGCAGATGTGATAATCATCAATCAGAATCCCCAGCCTTTTCATGTGAATTGAACATCAACAAGTATGTAGAACAAGTATGTCTTGCATTTCCCTCTCCTCTGCTGATCCAGGTACTCACCTTCTTCCCTCCATCTCCATCCAGCCCATTAGCGACCGCCGTCTCTCCACGTTCTCCGATACTTCCATCTCTCTCCTGCTAATCTTCCTCGGTCCATCCTAAACTTCGTGCTTCTAGAGCTCAGGCCTTCGCCACCGGTTTCTGGCCAAGCTCTATCGATCGCTACCCTCCATTTCGATCTCAGCAAATTCGCCATGACTATCAGTGACATTGTCTCCGATGCCTCGTTGCTACCCGTGTTGCGTACCAGCGCTGAGACGCGCGAACAATGCGAGAAGCTTTTATCCTTGTTAGATCCCACGGCACAGTCTCCTTCCTCCGACCCCGAAGAGGCGATTCTGGCTGCCTCTAAACAGCAAAAACACCTTTTTGCCCTGCTAGCCCAGCTTCGTGGTCAGAGTCGGGATGCTATTCTTCGGGTTCGCCAGACGAAACAACTCACGGCAGAAGCTCGTCAAGAGATCGATCGGTTACATTTACAACTGCAGAATCTGTATTATGAACAGCGGCATCTGACTGGAGAGATTGCTGCCTGTGAATCATATGAGTATGTAGACCGTTATTTCCATTTTCATTCTGCTCCCTTGCGGTTGGACTAACAAGTCGCTGTCTTTTAGTCACAAATACCTCTCCCTGCCATTGATCCCTGTGGAAGAGTTTCTTGCCCTTCATCCCGAACACGCAGACCTTGATCCACATGAACTTATGATTGCACGCATTAACCACGAACATGCCGAGCGGGAGAAGCTCGAACAGGCGCGCCAGGAACTTCTGAAGCGCAAGCAAGCCTTGATCGCAGAGAACAAGAAGCGCAAAGACGACCTGGCTAGCCTGGACCAAGATCTAGAGCGGTTTATTGATGTATGTCTTTTTTTCTTCTCCTTTTCCCTCGACATTGAGCATTTTCCCTCCAACGGTCATTTGTTGACAATCGATCCCAGGCAGCAAAACCGATCCAGAAAATCTTTGAGAAGGAATACTAGACCTGGGACCTCTTCATTTTACTCTTTTCCTTTCATTGTCATTTCTCATTCAACAGGCGCATACTCTGAGATACCCGGAAATTTGGACTATAGACTCCTAGGTAAAGGGACTTTGTTTGCATGTAATCTACATCATTGTCTTGAATTGCGGCATTACCAGTCCTCGATTCATTCTTTGCAAATTCAGTGATAATAAGTACCAGCTATGCTTGATTTCAAACAAAGCAAGCGTTCAATCTATCAAGAAAACTTGCAAGTTGTACAATCATCTGTTGTAGTCTCATACCTCGGCGGAGTTGATGCTGCCACTCTGTTCTCCGCCTTCACTCCGCCTCCTGTTGAACACTTCCCCAGCACAACGTGTGCTTTCAACGCCACCGCTCAAGCAGGCACGAGAACAAAGAATGTCCTGGTCATGACTAGCAAGAATGAAGACCTGCGGTCTTCCATACAAACCACTACACAACCGTCCACCCCCACCACCATGAGTTCCAAGGCAAGCGCGCAACACCTTCCTCCGCCCGAGAAGCCAGAGGCTATTCGGACTCGATTCAGAGTAATTGCTGCATTCTGGGCAGTCATCATCTTTCTAGGATTTCCCATATGGTGGAAGACAACATCTATCTATCGGGCTCATTTGCCCGTCCAGGAGATGGTCGATTGGGCCAATGGAAAGGTAAGTGTATACACCCGCAGTCCACCAGCGGAGAGCTCTTAGATCAGACACTCATGTGGTACGTTATACAGACCTGTCGTCCTGTATTTCCTCTTGAGATCCGTTTTGAGACACCCTCTATGCCTATTGCAGAGGCGCAGCATCTTCTCCGAACTACGCAGCATACCCTTGACGATCTCAACGAATTTTCCGCCCATCATCTCCGCCTGAAACTGTCCGAAGACACAATCGCCGCAGAAGGCCATGTGAACGCGCAAGGACAGTCGATGCTTGCTGGTTCAGGCAAACCTGATACGGCGCTGACAGTTCGACTATTACCTCAGGATGATTTGGTCGCTCCAAAAGCAGAGCTTCATTCCGAAACGACCCAGCTGGATATTATGTATCCCCCGAGCCAGATTCCCGCTCCCTCGTCATCCAGCCCACCCCTATCGGCCTTCATCGCGAGCGAATTACAGAATCTGTTTACTGAGGAAAAGGCCATCATTGCGCAAATCCTGTCTGACAGCAATCTGGGCGGCGCCAACACCAACACTCCTGCGTCATCGAACAATCAACAGCCCTTGGCGGTTCTCAACTCCATCTCTCCGCAACTAGCAGAAAGTATCAGCAGACGGTTGAGACGGTCCATGAAGTACGCCGAGACCTATCATCTTGCCTTTTCTCTGTTCACGCCCAGGGCAGAGCCCTCCTCCTGGGACATCCAAGCAGCTGTGGAGGAGTACATTTCCCCGCTGCTGCAAGCGCTGGAACCCATTAGCAACTTCACTGTCGACACGCAAGTGCAGCTGTACGCGACCTTTTCTCCAACCGCACCCAAGCCCGAATACGACGAGGCGTTAGCAGCCTGGACCTTGAAGAAGGAAGATCTGAGTGCCTTCATCAACGCCGCCGAATGGCCCTTGAGCCCTAGTATCGGGAACGGCCCTACAATCAACTTCATTCTCTATGTCCCTGCGCCTTCACAGTCACCCATGCTCGTCAAGGAGAGCGGCGCAACCAGCTGGATCATCCCTCAATGGGGAGGCGTCTTCCTTCTTAATCCCCCTCTATCCACCATCCAAGAGAACCCCTCCAGCCCAGCCCATCTCTCCAAGGAATCACTGCGCGCCGCCTTCCTGACATTCTCCCACCAGCTTCTCACCTTACTTGGCGTTCCCACCACGCCTACCTCCCTCCCCTTCCGTTTGCAAACGCTCATCCGCGTCCGCGCTGCGACGCTCCTCCTCTCCGCATCCTCCACCATGGGCTCCCTCGCCCGTCTCACCGAGTCTCTCCCCTCGATCCCTATCCCAGCAAACGTCGCCGCGTCTGTGTCCACGACTCTTTTTCATCTGGCCTCGGCATGCACACATCTCCGCGAGGGCCGCTTCGAAGCAGCTCTTGCCAGCGCGCGCGTCGCGGAAACAGAGGCCGAGCGCAGTTTCTTCGAGAAGAGCATGGTGGGTCAGATGTATTTCCCAGACGAACATAAAGTGGCCGTATACCTGCCCTTGCTGGGACCTATCGGTGTTCCTCTTGTCGTGGGGCTACTGAAAGAGATCAAGAGGATTTTTTCGGATCGGAAGGCTAAACGGGCGATGCGTTCATAGATAATATCTCCGTTCGTTTCGAGTAGTATATAGTATACCCTTATTGGTATGATAATCAATTGACCATTTCATCTGTTTAGTCCACATGGTGATTGGCACAAGAAACTAGACTATTAGGTTTCAAATCGCGAGACATAAAGGACAACAGCATATGTGCACAGGACGCTAAATAGTGTATACGCCGACAGATAATAAAACGGGAATCACACCTTTTTCTCTACGCAAAAGAATGAATCCGGACAAATGGGAGACAAGGCTGGTCGCCATGGACAAAAACAAGGCAAAAGAACAAGACAGGCAAGTCAGAGAGGTCGGAGAGGACTCTTGCTCCTTGACCTCGGGGTCTCATTGACCCTGTAGCTCGGATCACCCTTGCTATTCTTGAACCCTACCTGGTCAATCATCTCCGTGAAGGTTGCATTACTCCCCACGACGATAGTCGGGTACGGCTCTGGCTTGAGAACACCTGTCGAGGCGAACGTCCCCGGCGGCGTATAGACCTTGATACTCTCCGTGCTGGGCTGGCGGACCTGCCGCGGAGGCGTTAACGGCAACGGGGGCGGCTTTGATGCCAGCTGGCTCGGCTTGGGTGTTGAGCCGAACAGGCTCTTGACGCGGGTCCCCGTGCGTTGGAGCATTGAGCGTGCGCCTTCGGAGTTGCGTTTCAGGGATCTTCGGAGGAGGAAATCGGTTCGGTAGGCGTTCTCTTCGGAGGGAATGGGGTCGGAGATGCCGATAAGGGTTCCGTTTGATGTTCTCTGGGTGTGCTGTGCGATCTTCACAGACGGGGGCAGGTTATTGTTTCGTCGCCTCATGAGGAACATCGCCAACAGTGCGAGGACGGCCCCGAAGGCGGCGCCCGGGAAGAAGCTGGCAATGATCGCCTTCGTTGGAAAGGAAGGGCATGCGGTCGCCATAGCGGCTGATGTTCCATTGCAGCTAGAAGCAGCGCTGGAGGCTGATGAGTCTGCTGGATCAGATGCCGATATGATTGTCGGCTGGACACCGTCGGTTGAGGATGCGGTGTCTTTGGCTTTCGAGGAAGTAGTTGCAGCTATTGGAGCTGTAGAAGCAGAAGGAGGGCTGGAGGTTGTTGTGGTAAGTGAAGACGCTGAGCCAGTGGCTATGGAAGAAGTCGACGTGTCCATGGCGCAAATGCTATTGCTTTGGCAGCTGTATCCGAAAGGACAGCATGAATCCCCGCACTTCGGCAGAGAATCGCCAAGCCGTGTCGTCTTAACCACAGCTTTTGGGTGAAGTGTGGCATTTTGCTGTGAAACATCGCAAGTGATCGGCTCAATATAGGCGCAACTTTGCCCGCTGGGGCAGCAGATGGCGGAACTTGCATTATCCAAACTTACGCAGGTCGATGTGGACGGACAGCAGAAAGAGGATGGCAGTTTGGAGTTGCTGCATTGCTCGTACGATGCTGGACAAGAGTCAGAGGCCCGATTCAGCAGGCTGTTGAAGGCATAGCTCGGTGAGATGGTAGTCACAACGATGGTGAAGGCCACCAAGGGCGCAGTGAAACTTGACCTCGCCATTTGGCAATATCAAGGGTCCTCTAGAAGACAGACTTGCAGTATGATACCAATGATGGTAAAAAAGATGAGTTGAAGATGAGATTAGTTGATTAGAGTATTCCCAACAACAAAGGGACAGTCAAACTTTGAAGCTGAAAGGACTGTAGAGAAAGACAAAGAACAATCTTCAGAACACACAAAAGACAACAAAGAGATCCAGCGCAAAGTAAGAGACAGGAAGCTGATTCAATGCCCAAAATAGTCATCAGGCCATCATTTAAGGAGCATCCAGGGCCATGGCAGCTACAAGCGCCGCCATCTCAAAATAGAGACGGTAGATGGGGCTCATCGTAGGTCGCATATTGAAAGATCAATACTCCGTATAGGCGCCCAAAATCAGAGCCGCTATTCTTGATGCAGTCCGGGTTCAAAGCGTCCCATTTGACAACGCAATATGGGCCTGAAACGAGGGCGCGTAGAGGGTTGACTGAGAGAAGATGCAAAAGACCGTCGATGGGCGGTTAGCAGACAGAGGAAGTAAATCTTTGGCCGCTGATTGGCTGAGTGCAAAAACGCCTTACCTCAGCAACGCTAGTCCCAATACAGCAAATTCGAATATCCGCGATGGAAATTCTGCGGCCGTGAAGCTGCTCTCCATTTGATGTTCAGATGAGATCCCTCAATTCCACGCCCTCATCATGCTGAACCGACTCCTCCGGCCGCAGACCCCTCTGCGTGCATTGTCCGCTCTTTCTCAAGTAAGCTTTCCCGTCTTCCCCACAGCCCTTGGCTTGCATTACAGAACTGATTGCTCCTTCTGGTAGAAACCCATCTCCGCCCTCCCACGCTTCCAGACACGACAGTTGCACCGAGTCCCCCAGTTGACGCACGATTCATACTTCAAGAACAATGGCATTCCGGAGCTATTGTCGCCAGAGGCATTCGACTTTGCTTGGACGCAATATCAGACTCTCCTCATTGATAAACTGAATCTTTTGACACAGGGTGAGAAGACCTTCCGCAAAACCTCCATCTTCAGCTTGACTTGGCGTTTTGGCAAAATTTGCAATTGAGTATAATATGGGGTCAATATCTGATGCCGGACCCATAGACACCGTCGACGCCGATGCGAAACCCGGAGAACTGCTGGTCAAGTACTCCCGGCGTCCGGAGATGGCCTCCGTTTTCAACTACGCCTCGATGGCTCACAACAACCATTTCTTCTTCAACTGCTTGGTGAGTGGAACGCAAGGAGAAGCATCGCTATCCGGCCGGTAACATCTAATCTGTTTTTGCAATAGTCACCCACCCCCACTCAGATTCCCGAAAAGTTCGCCAAAGACATTATCGACACCTGCTCCTCCGTCGAATCCCTGAAGCTCGACTTTCTGGCTACCGCCAACGCCATGTTTGGTCCCGGTTTCGTGTGGCTGGCTAAGAACCTCGAGCGGGAAGGATTGATGCACATTTTCTGCACCTACAATGCAGGCTCGCCCTACCCTGCTGCTCACTCCCGGCGCCAACCGGTCGATATGGCCACCCATAGCCCCGATGCGCCTCTGGGCAACATGTACGCCGGCTCAATGGGTGCCCACTCACTGAACCAGAAGAGCATGGCCCCCGGCGCCGTTGACGTGCAGCCCATTCTGTGTGTCAACACCTGGGAGCACGTCTGGATGATGGACTACGGAATCGGCGGCAAGGCCGAGTACCTGGAGCGGTGGTGGGACCGGATCAACTGGGAGGCTGTGTTTGACAACTACAACGCGGTCAGCTCGTTGAAGGGAGCCCGCCATGCGGCCAACCGGAATCGCAGCCTAAGCATGCTATGAAAGAATACGTACAGGATGCATGTGTTTCGATAATTGAATTGTACTATACTATTGGCCAGGCTTTGTTCAGGGGTTTTCTTTTCTCATATGTTGTCTAAATGTACAGCGGTTCGTCTCGAGATAGAGATACAGAATGGAAAGAATGCAACTGATCCTCTATACTATACAATACCATGTACCCTCAGCTCCCCATGCCTCTATACAACCCATCCCACCCCCAGAGCCCGAATAACTGATGATTACCTC